TAGACTATAAATAGATTAGAAAAACATTTAGTTCTCTTTAGTTTTCCCTGTTCTGTATGTACTGGAAGATGGAATTAAATGTGCCATTTCAACCAAAGGTTTGGAATGCTCTTCTGAACCAGATGCTCCAAGGCGTCCTGTCCATAGCTCTTCAACACGCTGTCAGTTCCCAGTCAGCAATATGCATTTAGTTCAGATTTCATGAGATGATATTCAGAAAGGATTTTTTTTATTAATTCATTTTAGTTGTTTCTAGGATGAACTCTGCGTAAAGTCTATAATGTCTGCCCATGTGCACCAGTAATTAACCTGTCATTTGACAGATTAGTTATAACCTGTCAAAACATTTTTTTTTAAACTAATCGTCATTTGACAGGTTGGTAATAACCTGTCAAATGATGGACAGGTTTCAAATTTTTCTGTCACTAAAAAAAACAAAAACGGTCAGATACGGAAAATACTCCGTTAACACAACTCCTGAACAACATTGTTTTTCATTGCCCATTACCCATTCAATTAACAGGGTTAATTTTTGCTTCAAAAAACAATCTGACGAGTTGCTGGAAAGACTGTTGTTGTGTTCGAGTTGTGCTAAAAGGAGTTAGCTAATAAGCTAACTTCTTTTAGTACAACTCGAACACAACAACAGTCTTGTTTTTTTTAGTGACAGAAAAATTTGACAGGTTATTACCAACCTGTCAAATGATGATTAGTTTAAAAAAATCATGTTTTGACAGGTTATAACTAATCTGTCAAATGACAGGTTTGGTTATTACACAGGTGTCCCCAATGCTAATGTCAGCATCCGCAGTCCACATTTCTAAAGAGTTTCCATCAATGATCAGGGGTTCCTGAAACACTGGAAAGCTGAATGGTTAGGATAGCACTTTTCTGATGGTTAATAACTTGAAATTAAAAACAACAAATATTTTATTTTATCGGAATGTGGTTTTTGATTAAAATGCAATTAAATTAACTTCAACCCTGCAGTTATCTCAAATAAAAAGTCAAGTCTGATAAATATTTAAAGGTCCACTATTGTCAAAATTCATTTTTGTGTGTTTCTGTATTTTCATATGAGTACTTACTGATCCCAGAAACAGTGCAAGAGCAAAAAAAAAAAAAAAACACCCAGCCATGTTTTTGGGAAATTTATTCAAATTTGTGTCAGATCTGAAGTGTTTAATCCTTGAGCAGATGTGGCTGATGGTTGTTCAGTAGACTCTACTTCTGCTTCTAGGTCTTCTTCAGGGACAAAATTAGACAGTTGTACCGCTGTGCTTCTGGTTGTTGGAATTTTCACGTATCTTAGGAGCCAATGTAAACACTGAGTTTTGGGGGTGTGACCTGCAGCAGCATAATCGTGACGTAGCCCTAAAACAGCGCATACCTAAATGAACTCAAAACAGGCAGAACCGATCGGGCGATATCTAAATATCTGAGAATGATTTTGTGTATTAAATGTAATTAACATGTTTTGTTTAACTCACAGATCTTTCCAAGCTTGTTCAAGTAATCGTAGTAGTGGACTTTTAATACATGTGTAAATAACGGCTCTGTATTATATTTTGTATTGACCAAATGTGCAGTGCATTTTCCTGAGATGAATCAAAGTTGTAGACATGAAAGCAGCTAATAAAGTCAAGCCTGAAAATTTCAACAATAAAATGTTTCTGCTGCTGCTTTAGCTCATCTCTCATGATGATTACCTAGAGACAGTTCAGTGAGTGCTGCTGTTTTGTGTTCAGGTCCCAGCCCGCTGTGGGATGACTGTGAGGGACTCGCTGAAGAAAGCTCTGATGATGCGGGGACTCATCCCAGAGTGCTGTGCAGTCTATAGAATACAGGATGGGTAAGTTTTCGGTTAAAATGCTTAGCTGAATTGCAGCGGTAGATAGAAAAAAATGTCACTGTATGATCTTTAAGACCACATCCAAGAGTAAATTTCAAGTGATCTTGATTTATCACAAGTATGTTTCTAGAAGGAAAATAAGTCTAGATCCGTTGATGAAAACCTGAAAAAATCTGAACCCTCCACAGGTTTTAAAAAACCTTTTGAAAATATAGTTTTTTACCATTTCACTGAATATTCAGTCTGCAAGCCTAATAGAACAAGCTAGTGTACATACTAGGCTGCAGACTAAGTACAAAATTATAGCATGATCTCATTCACTGTAGTTTGTAAGAGGTATTTTTCAACCAGATTATCCTTGAAAATGTTAAATTTTAGATTTTTAGATAAAAAATGTAAAAGAAAACCAAACAGCCATGAGCCCGGTGCTGTTTTCAGGGTTTCTCCCAGAAAACTAGCTAAGCCACCAGCTGCCCTCATTTAAAAGAAAATGACCAGGTAATTGTGTGCAGTTGCACATAGTTAACTGGTTATTTATCCATTTATTTTCAAATTTTCTATTCAATAGGAATACATTATTTACAGTATTTAAGCACCAACTATATAGTCTTACAATTAAAATAAAGATATTTTTTTCACACTTAAGTAGAGATCTAATGACTCAGCCAGTGGATCTTGAATGAATATACTTTATTAATTGAGGGGAGAAATTTCACACATTTGTTTCTGCTCTTTATTAGAAGTAAACCTGTGCAGTCAAAAAAGAATGTTACAGTATTAAACATGATATCAAGTATCATTTTTTCCAATCTTTGGATGAGTTTAAAATTTTAGCATTGTGACAACCACAATGCAGAGGGTCTAAAGCCAGCGTGAAGTAAACTCTGGTCTTAACTGTAGCTACGCCTTTATAGAGACCTGAAGTCAGAGGGTTGCAGTTGTTGGTTCTGTTGGTGTTGCATGCGGGCATTCTGATGAAAACGTGTACATTTGAAATCAGATACAGATTTGCGTTTGGAGGTAGTGTTGCAGGTTAGAGTGGATTACAACTCTACCTGATTCCACTAATGGAAGCAACATTTGGTTTGCTTGCATCAGTTGTGTCTTAGAGTACATGATTGCTTGAGCTGAAGTAGCAGGATGCTTAGTTTCTTTCTGTTAAATTGTCATTGTTTTTCAGCAGCTGTTGTGCTCTCAACTTCTGTTTTAGAGAAAAGAAGCCTATTGGATGGGACACAGACATCTCCTGGCTGACTGGAGAGGAGCTCCATGTGGAAGTGTTGGAGAATGTGCCACTTACCACACATAACTTCGTAAGTCTCCAATTATGCATGTACTATAATGTAAATGCTATACATTAGGGGTGTCATGGTACAAATATTCCTGTCTAAATAATGCTAAATACAGGTACAAACCTGAACACATCAGAATCTTTATGTCAAGAACCAACTGCACAATGCATTGTTCTGTTGTGCAACTTTAAAAACAGAGAAAACTCTCAGCTATTGCTACTCTGCTACTTGGGAACATTAAGGTTTCTCATTCAGCTATAGTGGAGAAAGAATGGTGGACCAAACTAGAACTTTGTGTTTCTTGACAGCCGGCTCTGCGACTGATGGGTACAAGCAGCATGCGGCCCGGATGGCTTCAAGACAATTCTGGTCCACCATTATAGGGGAATTTTTCTGCCATAATTCGAGAGCACACATTTTCAGTCTGAAAGCAGGATTACATGACTTTTGTTCTCAAAACTTTTAATACTTTTGCTTACATTTTCATTTTGAAAGCAGGACTTCATGTCTTTCTTCTCAAAATTTGTAATGTTTGTACTCAAACCTTTTTCCTCACGCTCTTGCAAAACTCTGCTCGCTTACGAAACATTCTCTGCTTGCTTTAGGAACAAAAGTGCAACGTTGCCTGGCAACCTCTCAGCCAATAGAATGAAAGTGTTGTACTGCGTATGTTCTTTCCTTCTAGTGAATTACAGCAGAAAAATTCCCCCATACACCATCCGGCATCTCAGGAAGGGGAAGCGGTACACCACCAACACTGCTTATAGTGGGGGTGGGCTGCTCGCTGATCTCGACTCAGGACGTTGTGGGCCATCGGGAAGAATACTTCAAAGAGCTCCTCAATCCCACCAACATGTCTTCCGTTGAGGAATCGGAGCCTGGGGACATTGGGTCGGGCTCTCCAATCTTTGGGCATCCCCAGAGATTGGAGAGCCCAAGTCACCGAGGTGGTCAAAAAACTCCTCAGTGGCAAGGCCTCAGGAGTGCATGAGATTCCCCCGGAGTACCTCTGGATGTTGTAAGGTTATGTTGGTTGATGCGACTCTGCAATATTGCGTGGACATTGGGGGGAGTTCCCCTGGATTGGCAGGCTGGCGGTGGTGGTCTCCATATTCAAAAAGGGGAGACCACAGAGTGTACTCCAACTACAGAGGGGCAACACTCTTAAGCCTTCCTGGCAGGTTTTATTCAGGGGTCCTGGAGAGAAGAGTCTGTCGGATAGTCAAACCTCTGATTCAGGAAGAGCAGTGTGGTTTTCATCTTGGCCGTGGAACACTGGATCAGCTCTACACCCTGCAGGGTCCTGGAGGTCCACAGGAGTTTGCCCAACCAGTCTACATGTTCTTTGTGGACTTGGAGAAGGAGTTCAACCGTGTTCCACAGGGAGCTTTGTGAGGGGTACTCAAGGATTATGGTGTTAGGTCCCTGTATCACCGGTGTCAGACTCCACATTGCTGGCAGTAAGTCGGACTCATTCCTGGTGAGAGTTGGACCCTGCCGAGGCTGCCATTGGTCACCAATTCTGTTCATTACTTTTATAGACAAAAGCTAGGCACAGCCAAGATGTTGAGGGGATCCGTTTTGGTGGCCTTAGGATCACAACTCTGCTTTTTGCGGCTAATGAGGTTCTCCTGGCTTCATAAGGTCATGATCTACAGCTTTCCACTGAGTGGTTCACAGCCGAGTTTGAAGTGGCCAGGATGAGGATCAGTGCCTCCAAATCCATTGCCATGGTCTTGAACAGGAAAAGGGTGGCTTTTCTGGGTTCGGGGAAGATGTCCTTCCCCAAGTGGAGGAGTTTAAGCATCGCAGGCTCTTGTTCACGAATGAGGGAAAAATGGAATGGGAGATCAACAGACAATTTGGCGCAGCATCTGCAGTGAAGCGGGTGCTGTTCAGGTCTGTCGTGGGAAGAGAGGGCTGAGTCAAAAAGCAAAGCTCTCATAATTTACTGGTCGATCTACGTTCCCACCCTCATCTGTGGTCATGAGCTTTGGGTCATGACCGAAAGAACAAGTTCACGGACACAAGCAGCTGAAATGAGCTTTCTATGTAGGGTGTCTGGGCTCCTTCTTAGAGAGCTCAGTTATCCAGGACATTCTCAGAATAGAGCTACTGCTCCTTCACGTTGGGAGGAGCCAGTTGAGGTAGCTTAGGCATCTAGTTAAGATGCCTCCTGGACGCCTCCCTGGTGATGGACATGTCCCACCGTGAGGAGAGCCAGGGGAAGACCAAGGACATGCTGGAAGGACTGTGTTTCTTGGCTGGCCCAAGAAGCGGGAAAGAGAGAAGCCTGGGCCTCCCTACTTAGGCTGCTACCCTCTTGACATGACCCCGGGTAAGCAGAAGAAGATGGAACATTATTGACCATTTATGAGTAGTTTTATCGTCCATCCATACCAAACTGTGATTTTAAGGGAAGTGTGTACTGAAGTCTGAATTTTTTTTATTTTATTTTTTAAGGTTTTGTTGGCTCTTGTGGCCTTTATTTGAAAGTAGTTCAACAAGAAACAGTGTAATCAGAGAGGGGGAAGACATGCGACAAATGTCGTCAGGCCAGGAATCGAACCTGCAACCACCACGAGGACTAAGGCATCAATACGTGGCTCGTGCTTTGCCCCTGTGCCACCACAGCACCCCTGAATTCTGAATTTTGTGTTCCATTAAAACTTGACTAGTAAAGCCATTAAACAGCATAATAAATGTTAAACAAGTTTCAGTTTACAGCAGGGCTGCAACTAGCGATTATTTTAGTAATTGATTACTCTGATGATTGATCAAATAAAAAAATATTGTACTCTCTGCAGATTTTTCATTTAACCTCTTAAGCCTTTTATATAAAATGTTAGAAATACATAAATAGAAGCAAATAAACAATTTTGTTTTTGAATTAGACAATGGACATTGTATTGCCTAAAATGCATTAACAGCATTCCTATCGTGAATTCTTAATCATTTGCACCAAAGGATGCATGTGAAGGTAAAACATTCTTCATATGAATACTGTATGAAGAACTCAGTCCTTTCTGGTAGGCTTACATCAGTACAGTGTACTAACTGGATAGCAAAAAGATGCTTAATTTGAGGTATTTTACAGGATTTGAAGCAGGTGAAGCTAAAACCGCAACGAGAAGAGTTGTAGGTAAAAGAAATTAACAAACAAAGATTTTTTTTTTTTTAAATCTTGAATTCCAAATGTATATATGTTTAAACAGTTTGGGATAATTACTGCTCTGATTGCAGTGTTCTTTCACCACATGACATGTTTGAGTCTGGATACTCCATTTAACGATTAAATGATTACAGAACTTGTTGATTATTTAAATAAACGAGTCATCACGTTTATCCAAGTTATTGTTTCAGCCCTATTTCACATGAAAACTTTTTTTCTTTTATACTATTTTTTTACTATTTGGTTTGCACACTCACACACTCACACGTTGAAACTGGTTAGACTTTTAACTGATCCAGCAAAAGTTGTAATCACTAACCCTCAAAGACAGGGTCATAACCAGTCCATCAAGTGTCCCTAACGGAGTCTGTGTACTGCTGTTTGAAAACTGATACTGCCGCTGCTGAGCTGCCACCTTGTTTAACAGACACACTGTACTAGCCCCTGTGGAGACAAGAACCTATCTTCTTTGTTGCTCAGGCCCACATCCTCCTGATTGTGTATTTATGTGTGTTTGGCAGGTGAGGAAGACCTTCTTCACATTGGCCTTCTGTGATTTCTGTAGAAAGCTGCTGTTCCAGGGTTTTCGCTGTCAGACCTGTGGCTACAAGTTCCATCAGCGCTGCAGCACAGAGGTTCCTCTCATGTGTGTCAACTATGACCAGCTAGAGTAAGTTCTGGACATGGGGGCTTCATCCAGCTGTCCAGCTTGGAACGTTTTCTCTCTATTTGATCAGATCACGACACTTGTGTTTTAATCATTCCCGACACACTTCTCACTAGGAATATGCAATATATACAGTATATGGTAGAAATGATAGAAATTTGGCCTACGAAAAAGATCTGGGCTCTACCGGCTAACCTCAGCATGCTCATTGATGATGTAATCGACTGGCATCAAAACTGAGCAAAAGGGAAACAGTGTGACAGAGAGCACGAGGGAAGAGCCCGTTAAGGCTGGTACCAAAGTGCCAGTAGTCTGTCTTAGCGCAACGCTCAAGAGGAGCGTGGCAGATGTCATGGTTAGACAGTGGGGAAAGGAGGAATTAGAGGGCATGTGAGGTCAGTATGATTCCCGCTGGGACGCACACAAGGTTAAGCTATTATAAAATAAATTGTTACCGTCACCCATCAAAATAGATATTGTGATATGAATTTCATGCCATTTCGCACAATTCTACTTCTCACTAACATTAGTCGGCTCTGGTAAATTTATTGTTCTCACTCAGTGCAAAAACATTTTCTAACCAATAGAGGGACTA